TCTCGTCTCTCAGAGCTCTGCGCCGGCCGGGTCGAGCATAGGCCAGTGGCTCCGCCTCTGTGTCGCAGCCCTGACACACGGTACATCGCCGCCAGCATGATTGTTTAATGTAGACCATGTGTATTATGTAGATGCGTCCATTGCCTGTTGTATGTGTCAGTTATAGTACATTGTAAGATTGAGAAAATGTTTGGCCGCGTTCACGGTGTTCGCCTGGCTTATACTGAGGACGGGCCTCGTGCAGGCAGGACCTAGAGGTCACCCTTAAGTCTGCTCGGTGGCGGAGGGGTTTCGGTCGCGTAGAGTTTCGTACATTAGGCATACCGATCTACCTCCCGTCTCCAAGGATTTAGCTAGTATTTCAAATTTTGTACCGGAGGAAGACCTTTTCCTAGGCTGTAATTTGACAATTTTATGTCGTCTCTATCGTTGTTGTTCACTATCACTCATAAACTATCTCTCTCCCAAAGTTTGAAACTAGCTAAGAGAAGGGGATAAATATATGTGTCTAGTCATATGTGTTATTTAGTATTTTGTTATCTGGGTTTTGAGTGGCCCGTGAAGTTTGCACGTGTGACTGACTTCTCGGAATGACTTATGTTGGCACTGTGATACAACCACACTCTAAAATTTTAATTAGTACTTTCGGAAAGGGAAACGTTTTCAATGTGTCTAGTCTTTAAGTACCTTTATTTTTCTCTTTTCATTTAATCATGTGGTGATCTCATTGTAATTATTTATGTTCTGGTTTGTTTTTCTCTGTGGCTCCTCCGTAGAAGCGTTTTACACGCGCTCATCAGTGTTGAAGTCGACGTGTAACCGTTATGTTTTATTGGAGTAGGAGAAAAGACATCTGCGCGCCAAATTTCAAAAAGACTAATGTGTATTGTTTAATATATGTTTGTGGTGGTTATTGTGTTGTCGGCATCGTACTGCAGCAAACTGTCTTGGTGAAAGGCTTGCATTTTCACTCACTTCCATTAGATTTTAAGAGTTGTCGTGTCTTATTATGTTAAACGGTACGTCGTTTCGCACAAGTTTCGATGAAAATGTTTCCAATTAATTGTGTCTTTAGATCCCCAACTTATAGCGCCAGAAAAACCCCTTGTTGTATGTATTAATGTTGTTCTAAATCAAAAAATACCTTTTCAATGAATTTAAAATAGTATATTTTCGTTTTTCCATTTAATATTTCGTCTCTGTCCTCACTCTTTTTTTTATTTTTTAAATTCTACGGTAAGTTTTTTTTAATGTAAACCCTCATCTAGTCATCTTGCCTTCTAAGGTTGATAGAGAAGAACGAGACTACTTCTCCCGATGAAAGTGCAACTTTTGCTCAAGTTTCATCGGGGCTCAAAAATGATTATATGTGACCATGGAGAACCATGTAACTTGCAAATCAATGTTGTGTGATCTGCTGCCAAACATTTATTTATTAAGATAATCCTTGCAGTTTTAAAGCAGAGAGTGCATGAAAGTAAACCGACATTTGTATTAAACATAATGTGAATAAAAATGTTGTTTTTTACATAGAAACTAGGTTTTTAAGAAGATGTTTACGTCACCTCTTACGTCCTCTTAATGAGGAAGCTAAAACAACTAAATAATCCGTTGGAATTTTCCATGGGCAACAGCTTGGACATTTGCCTCATTTGCTAACAAAAGTAAAATATATCACACCACACTAAGTACTATACATAAAAAGAATTCTTTCGCTCGTCTCAATGAACAACAAACAATCTTATATAATGATACCTGACCGCAGGCCTTGCGTAAAAAGACCCTGACTAAACAAAGACTAATCTTTTCGTCATTCACTTAAAGTTGTTTTAAAATTTAAAAAACGATCTTTTGCATCTCTACAAAATACATACCGGTAGCTCTTTTTTTTACTAATTATTCACATACACTATCCTCTCTGCACTTTCATGTGACGTGAATAAAGTTATAAAAATTCCTAGGGGTAAGGTAATTTACTTAACACCTGTCCGCCCAATAAAATTTAGAAACAGTTCTGAGCGAGCAAAATCCACTTGTGCGAGTGGGATGGAGGCAGGCCACTGGCCACTCCATCGGGAAGCATCTTATCGCATTTTAAATTTTACGTGTTACCCCGGTGTAACTAACCAATTTCTTACCAACCTGTGCCGTTGTGTGGTTTTGGGAAGCAAGAAAGTGGCCTCCACAACTTGTCTAGCTGGAATGTCTTGATGGCAGCTGCCGCAATGGCGATCACGGACCCCGTTGCTGTTTCGCATAGTTAAGAGTTTCCAGCAGCTCTTCGTTCTGAAATGTTAGAGCAGTACACTCGTCTCTTTTTTTTGGCTTTAAACAAAAATAGAAGTATTCTCATTGAAAAGAGTGGCATATGGCAACTAGTGAAAGCATATATGACATAAAGGGTGGGTGATCCGCGCCGTGGTTTATTTCTGCTTATACTGTACCGCATTCATGCGTGCGGACGGGTTGCATACTCGCATGGGGCCGTAAGGCGCCCTAGCGAGCGACGATAGGCAAGCCCGCCCGCACGCATGAAGTCGGTACAGCATAAGCAGGAAAAAAACACAGCGCGGATCACCCACCCTGTATGACGTTCTAGACAATTATTTTTAGGACAACCACTTTTAATTTAATTGTAGTCGCAGTGAGATGCTACGGGATTCGCTTTGGGGCGTCAGAATGCAAG